ATATGATATAATTAAAATACAAATAAAGCTTCATATGAAAGTAGACAATTGTAGCTTTTTCAACCAACATTTCAAACCATTTAGTCACTGGAACTGTAAAGTAATATAAGAAAGCAACTGTTACTTGATCTCCCAAAAAGTTTTTCTTGCATTATGAAATTGTTTCGTTTGCCAATGTGCTATATGAATTTAGTTACGTTTCGCTATTCCTGTTGCCTCCCCCTCCCCGGAGACTCATTGTTACGTCTGAGGGTTTATGGGGCTAAAAGTAGGGTTTCGATAGCTGCAGTGGGAAGAGCGCGTGTAGTCCAATGTGTAGTTTTGCGCTTAACAACAAATTGTTCCTGTTATTTCGTAACTTTTAATCCAATTATTTTCTTTATATTTATATAGCTATTCTAAAATAAGTTCTACCTTTGTTTAGAAAATTTATCCTAATTTTTTTTTTTACTCGCTACCTTTGAGTATTACTCGACATAGAAACACACGCCTGAATCTTTTTAGTCTCTGAGATTCCGCGTTCTGGTTTTAGATTTATGTGAAATACACCACCTGCAGAGTAATTTTATCGCTCTAAAAATAAAATAATAAAACAGTTTGACAAACCAATTCACATGAATAGAACCAAATCTGGAACACTTTCTACTTGATAAAATAGTATGTTGCGAGAGACTGAACTCTTCAACGTTGAATGTTCTTATGTCCTCATTTCTGTTCTTTTCTTTTCTCTCTCCTTTTTTTTTTATTTTGTAGGGACATGATTACGTTAATTAACTTAACAACTTTCCGTGAATACATGTTTTACTTCAACCCGAATGTATACTTAAGGGAATCGCAACATTTAGATGTACAAAAAAAAAAAAAAAAATTGCACGCCAGATTAATTTTACAAAAGAGTTTTTGTACAAGAATACTTTCCATTTAGACATATGTAAAGGTGCGTGTTTATGATTGCAGGTTTAGTTTTTATTCAGTGTTAGGAATCATTTTCTTATTCAGTGCTTCCTTTATTTCTGAACCGAATGAATCTTTTATATGACACTTTTGCCTCTTTTTTTTTTTTGTTATGAGCTATTTTCTCTCCATTTTCTATCTTTCGTTTTTTGTTTTTCTTGAGGAACGAAGAACTACGAAAATACAAAACAGACTGTTTGATTGACAACCACGTCTCGCTTGCTTTGCGAGGTTTATTACTTGTTTTGCTACGAGAACAAATTCTGCCCGAAAATCTAGGGGAATAGCCTAAAGTAGTATGCAGATATTTATGATTTGATCTATATTTTAATGAAGTAATGTTTTTGTTGGCGAATTGCATTGAACCTCCTTTAGTAAAACCATCTTTCCTAATTCCGGTGACTTGTTGGCGTTATGTAGTTAAATAGAAACGTTTTCTGATTTATCAAATACTCTTTGAAAAGTATATGTGCATATACACGGTTAATGTAATTCATTTATCAGTGTGAACTTCGTAATCGCCTTTTTCCTATTTCACGAACTCCCAAGACAAAACTTTTCCTAATGTTTCTCATCCCCCCCTCCCAAAAAAGAAATACGGTCGCACCCCCCAAGGGGAGCGCCCCACTGTTCAAATAAATCGAAGGACTGCCGTGAGCACTGGCTTCATGCGTTAGCTGTAATGTTGAAAATTATGTGTACACATGTATGTTGTGCATGATTACATAGACATTGTATCTTAAACGTTAAAAATGAGTCCGCACGAAGAAACATCACAGTATTAAGGTGTTCGAGCTTTTAACTAGTTCCTGCCATTATCAGACGGTCTGAGGTGTAGGAGGATGGAATTTAGAACGCAAACACAAAGTTTTTAATGCTCAGGCGTTTTTGTGAGTTCTCAGATCACGGAAAAACTTGAAACATAAATTAGATTCAATGCGACGGAAACAAAACCAAACAAAATTATTAACTAAAAAGTATTAACGTTTTCTAGTCCAACTATCCAGCTGCATTAGTCCTTTACTTACAATACAGTGATTTATTCTGTAACCTAAGACTTTTAGAAACTAATCCTTGTTTCATAGATAATCATCTTTAATACTGAAAAAAAGAAAGAAATATGACAGTTCATAACATGTCAATTAAATAAGGCATATCTAGGTTGATCAGCGATATGTTTACATACTTATGACGCTAAAATTGGAGGCTCGATTCCCCACGGTGGCCAGGTCGCAGATAACAGATTGCGCTTAAACAACAATCAAATAAACCCTCTCTCCCGAGTGACTCAGTGGTAAGTCGGAAGGCTTATATCGCTAAAAACCTGGTGTCGATACCCGTGGTGGGAAGAGCACAGATAACCCATTATGTAACTTTGCGCTTAACAACAAACAAACACAAATATTAAAGCCAACAACAATTAAATAGGGATGTATTTCTGGTGGAAAGAATGTTTAATTACTCGACCATCCAGGAAATACATTCCGAAATTATTGTGTTCAATTTATTTCAGTTACGTCGATCTTCCCCTGACGACGAAAGGTAGATAAAATAATAGCATAATATTCTGATTGTTATACGTATTTAATAATCGCATTCTTACTTTATACTTCGAAGTCACATTTATAATGATTACCGTATAAATTACTGCATCGGTAAATCTGTCAACTTCTAAATCACGTTTAATCGAATATACTTTATCTAAAAGGATATGTTCTAATCGAATGGGTCATTATTAAGAAAGCTAAACTACTCTGAAACATCAACGAGAAACGAGTTATAGTAAATCATAATAACGTTAGGCTAATTAAATTGCTTTGTAATCAGCGTCTCGTGACTTGTATAAAGAGAAACTTCTTCATTGCCTTCAACGAAAAGAATAGTATTCTCCTTATAAAAAATGAATGATATATTATCAGAAGTATTCAGCTCAACATAAATATTTTTTCTATAACATATATAGCTGTTTGCATTAAAACAAGTTTTCTCACTAATATATAGATATGATTTAATATTGGCTGAATATTCTGATATAGCAATAGTTGATTCACGTATGTAAACAGCCAGATTATAATTAATTAATTACGACTTTTTTCATTAAATGTATGTATATGATGCTGTGTTTTAAAAAAAAAAGTATATAATTTTATTATGTATGAAATATATTGATTTATATCTGTTCTTTTGATAATCTGTAAGTTTTATTTCGTTATAGTTAAAGTTAACATCTCCATTAAAACAAACCTCTAGTGGTTCAGCGGTAAGTCTGAAGGCTTATAACGCTAAATACAAGGTTTCGATACCCATTGCGGGAACAGCACAGATAGCTCATTATGTAGCTTTGTGTTTAACAACAACAACTAAACTCATTAATACAAGTTTCAAGCTATTGAATTAACATTAATATAATTATAACAGAGATATACTGCAACAGTATTCTGAAAGATTGTGTAGATTTTGTGGTTCGCATCCAGTTAAGGAAAAGACAAAATCGCGCTCTGTACTTTGGGTCCGTTATAAGAGTGACGGTCAAATCCTATTATTCGGCCTGACAACAGTAATTCCAGTGTTGGCGGTGTTGTCTAGCTGTCTTCCATCTTATCTATTACTTCAAATTAGGGACAGCCAGCACAGATAGCCCTGGTGTAATTTTGTGCAAAAAAATAGTAATCGAAGAATTTCTAGACCAGCAACTGTTGATAAAAGCTATTATGTTTAACTTACATACCATTTACAAGTATAGTGTTTACAACTGTTACGTTTAAACAGTATTTAGTAGTTCTAAATATATTTTACTTACATATCAGTCTGTATATCAAATTCTCAGATTATAGATCGAAGATATACTGTTTATTCAGTATAAAACTGGGAATACAATTAATCACATGAATGCTTATATTTTTGGAGCATAAAATAAAAAAAATATATATAAATTTCTCATTATAAAAGTCAGACACTCAAGCGGCACAAAAGTGATTTTTTTCATGCTTCTAAATTCTAGGAAACATGATTATTAGTTCGTTATTTATTTTCCTCTCTTACGTTCTGAAGTAGTTAACCTACAGATGAAGGGTGTAGTTGGGGAATCATAGTCACACAAGACGAACAGCGAAATTACATATACATTTCATATTCGAAGTTATTTAGTAGGGATTTTTTTAGAAAAAAGATGGGTTAATTTTATAGCCATTACAATAGTGATAATTTAATTTAATTCGTACAAGTCATGATGTAGATAAATGGATACAGCTGAAATGATACTGTAATCCTGGAATCATCAAAATATTCATATGCATGGAATATTTTGATTTCAAACTGTGCACTAAAGGTAATATAGGTTTCTGTTATTGTTCTAACACTGCTGTCATGGAGAAATGGCAATGTTCCCTCTCATTTTTTCAATCCATGCGTGGAATGAATTTTTGCATATGCACTAGTATCAATACAATGTGTGAATGTGCGCTACCAGTTTTTTAGGGGGGGGGGTATTATTAGACCACCGGCCCTATTGGATCATTAGACCGCTTTGCAATGCTACCAGTTGGTTATTTGGGCTTTGAGCCCATTGACTGCCAGGGTCATTAAGGCCATCAACGTGTTGAGACTCCTCACCATTACTGAGGATGTGCGCGGCTGGAATAATGAAGTGCGCGACACTTGATTTATTGTTCTGCGGCTGCGCAGCTTAGATGGAACACTGAGATACGGTATGGTGATACCAGAGTATCTTTTTGACAATTGACGATAGAAGCAATTATAAGTGTTCTGAAAACAAAATTTCGCGGGAAACGTAAAGCACATTAATTATTATAATAATATTTTGAGCGAAATCGATGTAGAGCAAATAAAACAAATAAGCCAAAAATCATTAGTTGATAACAGACTTTGTTACTTGTTATCTATCTTTTCATGGTAGGCCTATTGTGTTTCCAAATATATATTTTTTTGCTACCCATACGTCCATCAGTTTGAGTTACCGATCAATTGACTCGAAGTTAACGTAGTATCTTTAAAGAAATATTTTTTTTATTTGTCTTTCTACTTAGGAAATTTGTCCCGATCCCAGTTTTGTTCTTGATGGACCCGATCAATATGATATCAGCCCTGGAAAACTTGGTAAGCATCGAAAAGAGAAATATTTTTCTTCTTACATAATTATTAATAATTACCCTTATCATACCTGTACAACTCTGGAATTGAGAAAACATACTGTAAATAGTTTATTTCAGTGTATTAATTTGCGATGTTTTAAAGTTTTGCTTTAGGTGAACAGGTAACTGGTGATATTAGCCTTTAAAAATATTAAAATTGAGATTCATTTCATCATAAGGACTAGTAATTAACTATTAAACATAGTAGTGTATGGTTCTATAGTTCGAAAGTTTGTGACTCTTGTTACCGATATTTGTAACGATAACGTTACATGATATACTCCAGAATGAAATAACAATATAAATAATTTATGACACTCTGGAAGTATGTGTCTCATGAGAAGGTTTCATGACACAAACTCGGTAAAAAAAGTAAGAAAATACAAATAAAAAATGTAGTTTAGTGAACTTGGATTTCAAGATAATGGATGTTTTACAGCCAACAGCACTTTGCACGTTATTGCATGATGATATTGTAAAATACAATTGTACTAATCAGAAATAATGTTTTTATTAATCTAACAATAGAGGAAACATTATTAAGAATCAAATCAGTTTGTGTTTAAAAGTTCAAGTAAACTTCATCACATTTGTGCATATTGTGTTGAGCAACATTGTTCAAATTAGCTTATTTCATTTCTGACAGAGACTTTCACGTTGAAAGGTATTTGGATACCAATTTGGTCTTCTTCTAGTCGCAACGGTTTCACAAACTCAAGAATCAATTATACACACACACATACATCATTTATTTGGATACCGCGGGCTCAAGGCTTCTTCTGATACGTTGTATTGCTAAACTTATCAAATTATTACTCAAAATGTTTGTGAGGCTCCTATAACTTACAAGGTTTCACCAACTCACATTGAATTTCCATCAGCTGAAAATTGTTTAGCTGTATTTAATTTTTTTTTTGCAGTGTAGAATGGAGAATTTTCTTGGTACAAGTTGCCCGACATATAATAAATATTCTATAATTATGTTTAATTTTTCAACACGTGAAAGGCCTTGCTATATGTGAGTGTTTATATTAATAACAGTCAAAAGAGAGTTTGTTAACCTGGAAAGAATTCCAAAACAAAAACACATGAGAAATAATACACAAGTAACATTTAATGACACTATGCTCTTTTTCACATTTGGCTTGTTATTTCTTTTAATGTGTTAAAACTATTTTGCGTTTTTGTCAGATATATTTTTTTTTATTTCGAAACGGAACTTGATATTTAATGGATTGGGTTTTGTTTATAAAAACACATCTTTTCTATTCTAAATCAATAGAATGTTATTAGTATTAGCGTGTTTTTTTAACCTATTTACAATTATATCAACTAACTTCGAAATATTAATGTATCAATAACCTTGTTTACTTTTCACATTATCCAACTGTCTTGTTATCAAGAAGTAACGCTTGAACAATGTTAATATTTTTAACCCGATAACGTATTTTGCCCTTAGTGTTGTTCTCCGGTGAATCAGCCGTAAATATCTGTAGTTACATCACTAAAATTCGGGTTTCGATTCTCCGCGGGCCCGGCATGGTCAGGTGGTTAAGACGCTCGACTCGCAATCTGGAGGTTCGAATCCTCGTCACACCAAAAATGCTCGCTCTTTTTGCCGTTGGGGCGTTATAAAGTGACGGTCAATCCTACTATTCGTTGGTAAAAGAGTAACCCAAGAGTTGGCGGTGGGTGATGATGACTGGCTGCTTTCCCTCTAGTCTTACACTGCTAAATTAGTGACGGCTAGTGCAGATAGTCCTCGTGTAGCTTAGCTCTAAAAGGCAACAACTACAAAGAACAGCACTCTGTGTTTTTTGTTGTTAAGCGCAAAGCTACACAATGGGCTATCTGTCTTGTGCCTACGCAGGGTGTCGAAACCAAGGTTTTAGTGATATAAGCCGTAAGACTTATCGTCGATCCACTCTGTGTTACTTTGCCGATTGATTTATAGGCAGGCAAGAGACTCAATCCCCGCCCAAGCTATTACGTTTATCGACAAATTAAAATAATGGGATTTTTTTTAAAAGAGATGAAATTTTGCCAATTCTGACCTAACCACAGACTAAAATGTTCTACGTCACACTATCTACACGGAAAGGGGATTTCAGGTGTTTGCATTCTTATTCACTCGAGGGTTCGTGACAGTATACACAATAATCTGAGTCCGTTTTATTTATAAATTATAGATAAATAGCAAGGTCCTTATAGATAAATAGTAAGGACCTTGTTCACAAGATACCACTTGAATTCTTTCTCCGCGAATTTTTTTCTCCATATATGGTACTTTGGTGTGGTTAAGTGTTTTGAGAATTGCCAGTGCCGAGTTTGCTGGAATGATAAACAAAAAAAGAAAAAAAAGTGTAGAATGAGAAACGCCTATTGCAACAGGTGTGGCGTATATGTCACTTCAGACAGTTCACGAGAGACTTTTGCTAAGAACAACGTCAGAAGCGGCCTCTGTTATTTCACTTTATTTTTATTTACATTCCTGTTTTAGCCAGAAATGTCAGTACATATGTACGCAAATAGGTAATAGGCATTATTATAATACTAATAACAATAAAATACACGTATTAGATATAATAACAAATATTTCTATATAGTTGTTACAATTCTGTTTAAGAATTATGAAAAGGGATATAAATATAATATTGCTTATTTAATATTAAAAGTAGTCTCAAATCGTATTTATTAGTCTTACTTCTAAACTTATTCGTTCTTATCTGGTAAGAAAAACTTAAAACATATAGAATTCTAATTGCATGACTGAAAAGTTGTTCTCATAATGCAAATAATTAGACAAAGTTCTACTTTTGCTATTCAATTTGAGAGTAGGCTGGTAGAGATCCTAATGAATAATAAAAGTGAATGGGGTATACCCACGCTTGATATTGCTGGTGCACAAAAAATATAGCCAATAAAGAGGGGGAAAAAAAGGTCTGATAGATTAATTTATTTTAACTCCGCCTAAAAGAGTTAAGTGCCGCGGCTATTGAGGATTCCCTCTTGTTTTATGTTGTGTTTTGTGCATATGTTATTCATCTCTGTTTTGCAAAGAAATTGTGCAAATGCTGTTAAACTGTTAAAAGTTTCACACGTAAATAGTAATAATATATATCAATATCTAACTATGTAGTTTTACTTCGATACGTTTGCATATAGTTATGATATTTTACTTAGTTTTCCATTTTAATATTCTATATCAATGAAACCTATTTAATCCTTGCTGCAAAGGTTAACTCATAACGTCAATATTGTAAAAACCTGTTGGCTCCCGGTCGAAACATTTGGTTCAGTTTTTATAATTGTTAGTTTTAATTATTTTATTATTCGGTGTTCTTTGCAATTAACTATTCGATTTTATACAAATTAACACAATTCATGTTAGGTTAAAGTCGCAAGCACGTTACTAAATATTAATAAATAGCGCTGTGTAAACTGAATAGTCGAACTTGTTTCTGAAATACAACCAAATATGGATAAACTAGTTTATTTGTTTTTCTTTTCTACCTGTACAAAAAAAAAACTAAACAAATAAAAGAAATCGCAGAGTTAACTGATCAGTTTCAAGTGAAAAGGTGTTGAAATTATTAGACTTCCTTTACACAATATGACATACATATATATAGTATAATAACGTACCATTAATGCAACGCCCCCCAGTGGCACTGCGGTATGTCTGCGGACTTACAACGCTAGAATCCGAGTTTCGATACCCGTGGTGGGCAGAGCACAGATAGCCCATTGTGTACTTTTGTGCTTAATTACAAACAAACAATTAATGCAACCTGAAATTTGATAACAATAATAATCTTGAAATGACACATATTCTTTATATCTTAACGTCATATTTCGGCAGACAGTTATTCATAATTTTGTTTTTTCGTTTTACTTCAAACAAAATATTATTAAAAAAGATTAACATTCGCTGGTGAATGCAACATGTCTCCGCCATGCAGTCCCAACATGACCAGAAAAATCACGAAAAACACAGAAAAATCTAAAACTGTCTATATCACTGCTTGGAACCTGCAAAGAGTATAAATGTAATAAATCCCACGTAAATTGGTGAAAATATGGCCAAGAAATGGAACAAAACCCCTAAAATTATGGATTTATTTAACCTTTTGACCCCCTAAAATGGCCAAAAATTGGAATATCTGACATTTTTGTATGTCCTGTATGGGACCTGTCAAAACGTATCTTTGTACCAAATCCTATGTAAATTGACCGAAATGCGGCGGAGTAATTGTCAAAAAACCCAATTTAATGCTTTTTGTGGTATATTGACCCCCCTCCTATAATTACTAAAAATAGACAAGTCCATCCTTTTTGTTTGTCAATGTGTGGAGCCTTTAGAAAAGTATCTTTGTACTAAATCCTATGTAAATTGGTCAAAATATGGCCGAATAATTGACCAAAAACCTCAAAATTATGCTCTTTTGTGAGCTTTGACCCCACCTCACCCCTAAAAAGATTCACAATGGGCAAATCCAACTTTTTTGTATGTCAATGTGTTGGACGCATGAAACATTTATATTTTACCCATTTTCATCTTGGTTGCTGTAAATATGACCGCAACGGAGCCCAAAACTTACATTTTGGGGGTTGTATGACTTTTGAGCTCGTAAAATTTTTAAAAAGACCTATATTAAAGAAAAGTAAAAGTGTGTGGGCGTATTGGACCAGGATATAAACCTATCAAATTTCAAGTCAATCCGCCTACAAATGAAAGAATGGACGTGGATTGAAAAGTGTTTGGAAGAAGAAAGAAAGAAAGAAGAATAAGAAACCATATAAAAACAGTGTCTCTGTGAGGAGACATAATTAGTATTGTTATGTGAAAACATTTAGGCTTTCGCATACCATATATTTTTTCAGTGAGTTTTGTAAGTTTATTTTCTACTTTAATATACTGATAAAAAGCGCAATAAGTAAGTTTAATTTTATTTAGTAAAAACTTAAAATTGTATTGTTACGTCTCCGTTTGTTAATTCATTTTCCGTAACTACGTTTCGACAAAATTTTAGCGACACAAGTCCTAACTTAATAAAACTGGTTTATTCTTTCCGAATATAACTTTACGATACACTTAATTTCAACAATCACGCTAAAACAAACGCTGTAACAACGAACGTGCTCAACTTCAATAATACTCTCTGACTACAGGTGAATTACTCACTGTCTACACACACATCACATTACTCCCGTCACGTTGTCACCCTCTTTTATATACCAGCCTACCCTATATCAAGTAAATGCTCGAGCATTCGCCAAGGTACAGGATAGTTCTAGAAACGTGGAGTGACACTAGTCATGTGACTTCGCTGACGCAACAGTATGTACAAATTTGGACTTTATTTTAATGTTTTATGACACTAATTTTTTTCCTAAAATAAGATGAGAATAAACATTTTATAATGATTTGCGACGGTTACATGTTCTTTAAGAATTCGAGAAGATTATTTCAACTAATTAATATGACACTATGTAAAAACTTTACAATTACATAACTTTTAAGATTTTATATTTAAAGAATAAATTGGCGTAAAATTCTCCATTTAAGGTGCATAAATCTGCGTGTAGCACTTTCTCAAAAATGGCATGCCTAAATTTCACATGCTTATTTTATTGATTAATATATATGAAATTTCAAATGACTAAAATAGAGAAAAAAAGTGTTGCACATAAAAGACAATACAACTAGGGTACAACCTATAATGTGGGAAGAGTAAATAAATAGCTTGTAATAAAATATTGGAAGTATGAACCAAACAGCGTTAGAGGAAACATAATCCATCAGCGCAATCTCACTTCGCAAGGCTCACGTCTGAAATTAAACTGCAGAACTAAAAACGTAAAACTTAGGAACACGTACGTGTCTCAAGTCTGTTGTGTTCCACAGATTAAATTACTTTTTCTGTTTCTTTGCTTTTCTATTTCATGTATATATATATATATATATTCAGATTTTGCAACTAGCTGCCAGTATTAATAAAACGTTAATACAAACCAGTGAAGTCTGAGTACACTATGTTTATGACTTTTTAACCAGTTCAATTAAAAGTGCTCCAATATTAGGAAAATTACTCTCAAGAAAAGCAGGAGAATGCACAAAATTTTATCCAGAACCCAAAAGCTTCCAGGGTCCTAATGCGAGCCTTTGACATCGGTCGTAATGGGCGCGCATTCCATCACTTCGATCGTTCAAATGCACCTTGGGATCCCACTTTTAATTTGCCTCCTGTACCTTTGATAATAATTACATACTCTGAACTACATATGTTTCTAACAATCTACTTGCACACTTCCACTCAGCTTATAATGCAATGTTTTGTTTGAGGTACACAACAGGACCTTTCCCATACGTGTTACTACACAAAAATAAAACTTTTCTGCAGTGTTCAAAGACATCACTAGCCCAGTTATACACGCATATCCTGATCCAGTAATAGCACGTACAATATATTTTATCCGAAATAATTATTACCTTTTAACGCCAAAACGTGTGCTTTTTATTACTGACAGAGATAGATAGTTGGGGGAGGGGATAAAATAATATTTTATTTAAGAACTTTATTAATATTCCACTTTTTTTCACTGTCGGAATAAGAACTTGTCTCTTATAACTTATTCTAATATTATTGTGATGACATTAAAAAAATCTTGCTACCAGTGTCATTCCATGTTGTATATAAACACACATCCTATGTTTTTGGCCCAAAAGTAATGTCTTATATTAGCTTTTATTTAAATTTCAGACACATTGTTTGTTGGTTATTGTAGATTGTTTCGACTTCTGTGTAAATTTTACCAAAAAATAAAATAAAACTGTTGTTTAATTTACTAAACTGCTTATTTTATATATGATATGTTGCGAGAACATCAAGTCAATGAAAAGTATAATTAGTTATTTGATGAAATTAAATATAAATAAGCTTTGTCACAACTTGGCTAACATGACACAACACTTTTCTCCTTGTACTTTGTTTATGAAGATGGAGCATATAGAGAACTACAGATTATATTCAACACCATTATATATTGTTAATTCTTACACGTTCTAGGTGACAGGTGGTTTGTGTCCTGTATTGGGTGCCTCACCATTACCAAAGGTTTGTTCTACCGAGTAGTGCCGGCTGATCAGAATTTCCTTCCAGATGACTACGCTGGCATATTTCGCTTCCGGCTGTGGTGGTCAGGAGAATGGAGGGAAGTTGTTGTGGATGACCGACTCCCGACCGTTAACAATAAGCTGGTCTTCGTGCACTCTCAACATAGTAACCAGTTCTGGGCTGCCCTTCTAGAAAAAGCCTATGCCAAGTGAGAATTTGTTGCTGAGAATAGGCTGTGAAATTGTGGTCATTAGAAACAGCTTTCTAATTGCTTCTTAAACTTTAGTACCATGAGGACTTTTTTTTTTCATCAAAACTTTTTTTCGCACCTATCGATCTTTTTGTTTTGAAAAAAAATAAAAAATCCGTGTACTTGAAAAGCTGTATTCCAAAATTAAATGTTTTAATTCATATAAATTTAATTTTACAAAAAAATATTTTGCATTCTATAAATCATATTTTTAAGAAATATACTTTTATGAAATTTCGGACTTGATTCGTGGACCCCCTAAAGTACCCTCGCGAACCCCACTTTGATAGACACTTAGTAGTAGCATATAACCAGCCGTGGTTGAGTTGTTAGTGTGCCCAGTCTGTTAATCTAGGGGTTCAGGGTTCGCGGCCCGTTACCGGTTTTTTCATAATAAGTGTTAAGGTCAAATGTCACTATTCGATTAGAGTACCCCAAGAGTTTGCGCTGGGAGCTGGTGATTGACTGATTTTTCTGTAGTCTATAAATTCAACATTAGGGACGTCTAGCGCAGAAAAAAATACAACAAAACAAATTACTATTGTGAACTAACATTTTTGTAAAATTAGAAACGGCAGGGTTAAATACAATAGATTTTGATATACACAAAGAGCGAACACTAAAATGCAACATAATCGTACACTTGTTACCGCCTCCTTCTCCTCACTGTAGTTCAGTAGTAAGTGTGAGGGCTTTTAATGCTAAAAATCGGATTTTTGATGCACGCGGTGGACACTGCACAAATAGCTCGTTGCTTAGGTTTGTGATTAAAACAAATAAATTAAAAAACCTTTGTTGTAAAATAACTTACATTATCGATATCTATTGAATATCTAAAGACCCATGGCGCTGTTTGTTTTGTGTAGTATTTTATAACAATATTTAACATATTTTGAATATTAGATTTGTTTGTTTGTTTGTTGGAAGTTAAGCACAAAGATACACAATGGGTTATTTGTGATCTGCTCACCACGGGTATCGAAACCCGATTTCTAGCGTTGTTAGTCCACAGACATGCCGCTGTGCCACTGGGGGGGGGCTTGAATATTAGAAACTATACTTAAATGACAAAAAACTTGGATTTCTAACTTGAAAGAGGGTTAAGATTATATAAAAATGGTTATGTATTATCGTTATGAAAATAGCATTAAACTATAAACGTACGTGGTTAGGCACATAACCATGAATGTTAATACGCGATTTTGATATACTTCTATGATTAATGAATTACTTGCAAAGGGGACACGAAAATTGCATTAAAGGTGTGATAACTTAATTTTTTGATATTATTTAAATTGATAATTTCGGAGGTTTATGCTATGAGTTAGTATTGATAAAAGCATTATATTAGCATATCCACGTTTCATACAGCTTATACACTTTCAACCTTTCGTGTTTTTTTATAGCCTCAAAACTACACAATAGACTATTAGCGGCGGATTGAATTTCAGATTTTATCCTTGTAAGTCGGAAACTTACCTTTGACCCAATCGGAGATACTCTGATAAGAGTAGAACGCAATAGAAATCGTCAAAAAACTCTGTATTAAGTCTGAAAGCATGAAACCTAAATCAACAAAGATACAAGCTATATCACATATTTTTGACAACATATAAAGATTTAAAACATTTTTCATCTATAGGGTTTCTTTAATTTACTTTGGCCAAATAACACTGTTCTTATAATTTTTTGTTTTTCTATTCTGCAATTCAATACTCTAAAACAGTGGTTCGCAAAATTTTTATGGCGCTCCCCTTTCTGAACATTCGTTTTGTTACTTTCTGCATCCCTATAACCTATTTTTTTATATACCGTGCATGTCATTTTCCCCTGTTAATTACTTTTGTTACAACATTATTCAATAGTAGTAATATTTGTATGGTAGTTTTTAAAACGTATTTTTAAATTTGTACATTTTAAGATATAGTTCATATGCTCCTATAGTCGTAGTTGCGTTCCCTACCGACTCTTCGAGCGCCTCACAGTTTGGGCACCACGGCTCTAAAAATAAAAGAGTAAAAGATCATAATCGGTGCTTTAATGAAGGTAGTGTCATGGTAATTCGTTTCCAATATATATATATATATATTTAACAAATAGGCTCCATGGATCTTACGAAGCTCTTAAGTACGGATGTTCTTTGGATGGGATGGCAGACTTGACTGGCGGAGTGACTGAAAGCATCAGTATTCGTCAGGATCCCACAGCTTGTGGCAGAATTCTGTCTAAGCTCCTGAGTATGACTTCCATCGTGACAGCGATAGTGCACCAACAGACACAGGTGAAATACAGTAATATTATACCCAGAGGAAACGTAATTCTCTCCACTAACTAAACCGTCATGCAAATATAACTTAAGTCTGTGATTATATTTAAGTAGAATTAGCTTCCAACATCAAACAGAAGGTGCAGAACTCCTTTTTATTATTTTTCAAAGTCCCCCTCCCCGGTGACTCTGAGGTAAGTCCGGTGGCTTACAGTGCTAAAAATCTGGTTTTCATATCTGAGGCGTACAAATCGACACATAAAAATATATTTAAGCGGCTACATAATTAATTAAAATAATATTCAGTTTTGTTTGTCTTAAAAATGCGAGTGCGCCTTATTATCTAAGTGCGCATGCGCGCGCACTTTATTTCAGTGGCTGTAAACAAAAGACGGATGTAAATATACTATAGTAGACAAGTAGACGTTTTGTCCAACAACATATTAAACGCTTGTCAAAGTTTTTAAAAAGGTCTAATGTTAGGCCGTAGAATAATATTATAATTTTATTTATTGATATTTAAGTAAAGTAAAGTTTAACCCTAACTAAACTAAAACAAAAAATGTACACAAGTTAAAGTGCTAATTTATCTCTATCGAATATAGGCCGTACTTAATAAAGGCTTAACTAACGTTAGGCCTAAAAAAGTGGATTTGTAGATTCCAATGTCTGCTATTAGAGAAATTCTAGAAATTCTGTATTTAAAGAAGTACTCTTGCAATAAATATACTAATTTGACCGCATATGTTTTGTGGGTCTATGCCAGTACTATAATAAACCTAAGTAACTTTAAGTGAACGACCACAAACTCAAGAAGAGCTCTGGATTGAGCATAACATGTCGCCTGCAATGGATATGGCAAATATAGTGTGATTGGAATACTATTATTGTACACTCTTCTAATTCTTGAAAATCCCTAAAGGACTAGATAAAGAATGTATTATCTAAAAATATAATAGGTCTAATACATATTGTTACGTCTCCGTTTGTGTTGATTGATTTTTCCGTAACTTCGTTCCAACGAAACTTTAACGACACAAGTCTTTATTTAATAAAACTGGTTTATTCTTTCCGAATATAACTCTGCGATACACTTAATCTCAATACTCGCGCTAAAACAACACTGTAACGAACGAACGTTAACTTCAACAATACCCTGTGACTGCAGTTCAATTACTCACTGTCTATACACACATTACATTCCCCTCTTTTATATACCAGCCTACCGTATCTAGCAAATACTAGACCATTCGCCAAGATACGGGATAGTTCTAGAAACAAGAGAGCATGAGAATTGTCACGTGATCTCGATGACGCAACAATATGCTTAGACACCCTCTCACCCTCATAGCGTTAAGTAATTTTTGAATGACCCTTGTTTCACGAGTATAGATATCATTACAAATAGTACTTGTTATTTTATAAATTATGTTGTTCACCAGTGATTCAACGGCAAGCTCGAGGGCTCATAACACTACATTTGTGGTTCTATTCCTGCTGTTGGCACAACACAAATAATCCATTTTGGGCAGCTTTATGCTTATCAACAAATAGACAAAATTAATTGCGTTATGCATCATAAAACTGCACTTCTATTGATAGGGGACTGCTCAATAGTCCTACTTTTGTTAATTTTCCGAAGAAATTCTTTCCGAAAAACTTCAGCGATACAAGTTCTTTCTTAAATAAAACTAGTTTATTCTTTCTCAATACAACTTTGCAATACACTTAATTTCCACAGTTACTTTAACATAAACACACGCTATAATTCACAACAAACGATTCACGCACTTTACTTACTACTGCACTTGACTCAATTGTCCGTCTCTATCTCCAATCTCTCTGTCCGCTATTCAATTCCGATTGATTGTCTTGCTTTATCTGGTGC